AAAGCAAAAGAGTTTGTGGAATTCATCAAAGGTATCATTCTCATCACAGTTTCTATCTAAACACATTGCAGATCCTCGTTTGGGAATTGAAAATTATTTTATTTCCGCTGTGCATGATTAAGTAAATTCTCAACAGTTGGAAACAAAAATGTCCAATCAGGTAGGTACCTATGAAAGTACTGTAAGGGAAAGGCCTGTACATATGATTTTTTCAAATCGTTTGTACTCTTAAGGACCTCTCATTGGACAAATTTTGGGAACGGATGAGTTTTCTCGTTGAACAATGCTATTTATTATAATGATGATGATCACAGGCATTGTCACGTTCTCCAATGAGATTGAAAGGCTCAACTTATAATACACGATATAGCACTTACAAAAAAAAAGGCTCAACTTTTGCCAACTTGTACCAAAATAATTCTTTAAATAAAAGTAAGTTCTTTGTTACTTCCTCTTTCTTTGTAATTCTCTTTCACTTCATTTTATTTTCTAAAATAGGAAACACCTGGTAAGAAATTATTTTTTTCAAAAGATACATAATAATTTTTGTTTTAAAACATGCTTTAATCTTTAATGCTTACTATTCTCGACGCTCTTAAGTCTCTTTATTATGAATTCTAAGGCCAAAAGATGAAAAAGTAATCCTCCGAGTTAAGTAGGCTATGTTGTTTCCTAAGTGAGGAGGTTTGTTTAAACCTTTTCAAATACGATGAAAATTCCTTTTTTGACTACAATTTTAAGCATTTTTAGAGATCAAGAAAAAAGTTAAAAGGCAGTTAAAATATTGAGAAATAAATTTACTGGACGGTAAAGTACTCTAAGAAGGCCATTGAGAATATATTGTTTTAAAAACCTTTTATTAAATATATGTCATTAGGTATAAATGAGGACATGTAAGATTCGTGATAGAATTTTATCGGTCTCCCTAAAGTTGGGTTGCACAATTCTAGTTATTGGATTGGACATAAATTAGTATTGATGATTCCAATACGGATTATTTTAATTTCCCTGAAGGTAATGCATGACTTAAATATTTAAGTCAAAAATACCAGGGGATATTTCTATAGAATGATGATCACCATCCCTTTAGACTAATATAATGTCAGTGTCGAACTAATCCCATTCTTTGAGATTACATGCCTTTTACGGACTAACCTTGGGGTGTTTTTGTTCTAGATAACGAAATGGAAACCAAATCTCAACCTTTCATACAGTATTTTATGCTACATTATAGATGCATGATTAATTTTACAGGGAGTGGAACAATCAAGCTAGGAGGATCAATATGATTTCATGGACTTCTTTGATGAAGATTTGGCCGCTCTTCTTGGAGAAGGCTCACTCGACGTTTTCTTCCCAGAAAGTAATTCTTCTTCTCAGGGGAGGACGCAGAAGTTAAAAATTATGGGGATACTTTTATAGAATGTTTCTACGGTGGTATCGAAGGCCCAATTAAAACGAATCTAATTTTCGTATAACATGAGATGTTAGGATAATAAATTTAGTGGGAGAGTCTTAACCTAACAAGTAATTAAAATGACCTCTTCTAAAGATGGACGTATTTAAAATTATAGAATTTTTAGTTCATCGTTGTGTTATTACAGTAATGGGTCAACATATGCATAAGCATTACACGCTATTACTTTCCCAAAAAAATTTCTTTTGTCTTCCCTTTCTCTCTCCCCATCTTCTTCTCTTTTCCCCTCATTTCTCTTACTTCTCTCTCCTTTTCCTTTCTCCTATATTTTTACTACGGTTGAACCAACGAAACCCTTTTTTTCAAACCGTTAGTTTTGATCCACGTGGATCCGTCCACGTTTTGGTTTTAAACCGAAATAAACCGCTTTGAAGTGATTTGGTTTAGGTTTTAATTTTTGCAAACCGTTTCAAACCACCAAACCGCTTACAAATACATAATTATAGGTTACAACTTTTATATGTCACATATTATCAAATTAAATGGTCATAGATTGTTTTGATAT